ACCGACCTGCAGGCCATATGCATTCTGTAATGAAGCGTGATTCGTGAAATATGCAGGCCGGTCTGTTGTAGCGCAGCATGGAAGAAAGGGTAAATGGTTGTTTCGCGAGATCGTCTGATGCTAATTCGCCAGGACTATAAGACCTATAAGTCTGTTCGCACGGACGGATAGCTCAAAGAAGGATGTTTTAAATTCTTTCTTTTAACTGAACGAGCGAAATAGACAACATTGTGGGCATTATAAAACAAATAGACTCTTTGCCTTGGGTATAAGTAGGGGAGAAAGGGGAGGCTAGAAAAGGGAGTGGACAAAAGATAGGGCAAGAAGAGCCTGGCCATACCCTTTCAATATAATTTTGATTCTACAGTTGTGCATCTTTTGGCGAAACATTATTATAGGTTGACGATTAAGACAGTCTAGTGTAGTCGAGGCAGAAACGTTTTCAAGTCTTGTCAATGTTTTCCCCCTTCAAAGAACAGAAATTCACGCACACCAAAATCGCATATCAGCAGATTTATATGTCTTTTCGTCCTCATGATCATCGATTGGGATGTTACGTTCTCCTAAAAATGATCAATATAGATTCCGGCCACCATGAAGGAATTACAACAAAAAAATTCATCACAAATGGGAGAATTGTTACATCGAGTAATGAACAGTTTTTTTTTCCCAAGAGGACACGGTACTCCTGCAATCAAATTGGTTCTAAGCGCGGTCCGGATTTTCCGATCTCTGACCACGGTCNGGGGGGGGGGGGGGGGGGGGGGGGGGGGGGGGGGGGGGGGGGAGGTAATCCCAGAAAAATTTGGTGGCGGTGCGCGGCCCACTTCCCAAAACCCTTACCCTATTTATGACTAAAATTTGCGATTTTCCCTACCCTATTCATGACCTGACCAAAAATTCGATATCCTGTTTATGACAGTTCCGGCTGACACAGTTGCCCTAAACAGAAGTTCTGTTGGGCTTTAATTTTGCTTATGGTCTTATCGATAATGATGAAAAAGTAGCTTTTTCTTAACAACATACCCAATTCAAGACTAGAGTGCTAAAACCATACCCTATTTAAGACCAAAATGGCCAAAATCGATACCATATTTATGACAAAAACGGCTGAAAAACCATGCCCTTTGGGGCCACACGTACCTATACAGCCCATATAAGGGAGTACCCCTTCCCCGGGCGCGCGCACAACAAAAGTGATTTTAGAGAAACAGAGGAAGGAAAATATAAATAAGTCAGTATTTACCGGCAAAAAGTATATATGTATTTAGAAGACGCGTGTCAAGATCGGAAAAAAGAATTACAGATATTTCGACATTACAAAGCAACGATTACAGTTTTTAAAATTCTTTATTGACTACGTACTTAAACCTGACAAGAATAACCCTTTCGACAGTAAAAATTAATTACAGGTCTTCTTGCTTCACTTTCGTTTTTGTTCTCTCCTCCAGCCTTAAATCTATTCTGCATTTCTTGTATTTTACCATGCCACAGACTCCCGGCTGGCTTCTGTTAAAACAACAAACAAAGAGAAAATGATACATGTACACAGATCTCAAGTTGATCACTTGTGTGCGCCGGGGTAGCCTAACTTACAGGATAAGGTCATCTGGAGTTTTTCAACCATGTCACTGATACATGCAAAGAAGTCGCCCAGCAGAATTTCTTTCGTTTCAAGCAATTCTCTACATGCCGCTTACCTACAATTTAGCATGTTCTTCAAATTTTGAAAAAGGTCGTTGTTTGAAAGGTCGCCGAGTGTATAAATTAGATGCGCGGCGCGTTCATTTGAGAAACCAAGAATCTGATTGGGTCATCCCTGCCAGGCCAATGTCTTACTCGCGTTGCCCTCGGAAGGAAAAATTGACTTGATTTTCGACTTGCAATTGCAAAGACATAAGAATAATTGAATATAATAATAATAATAATAATAATAATAATAATAATAATAATAATTAATAATAAAAAGTGTAAACTACTCGCCCGTTATTATCTACTAGTGACAGTCATCTCGGCTGCGCCACGTTGACTATTCACTCAAAGAAAACTCGCGCTCGGCGTATGGTACATGTAGATTAGTCGTGTTGATACCAATTCAACCATCCATTAAAGTTTGCGTTTGCTGCGTTTTATGATGACTAAAGAAACTGGACAGAAACGGGCAAACCAATCAGAACGATCCGCAATTTTCCCGCCCTTTGCTCTTATGTACTCACCGACGGCCACTGGCGGGAAGCAAGTGTTCCATTCCCTAATGCTAATTCCTTTTTGATGATCGTAGTCACACGACTTCATGAATCCGACCATACAGTCTTCATCTCGGTCGATCATTGACTCGATCTCGTCTTCGTCAAGAATATCGTTATGGTTCTTATCCTGGCTGTAAAATTCCCACTGAAATAGAAAAAAAAAAAATGAAACGTAAAAGGTGATATGCCGGATTAAACTCAAACAAAAATTTCATGCTGAATACAGGGATCATAATTATTGACGATAGCAGGCGAGAAGATATATCTGATAGACAAGGCTGTAAGGCCTAAGACAAGAGTATCCTCAGGAGTCTATAGTCATCAAGGGCAGCTTCTGATCAGAGAATACTTGGAAGGGAATAATTTTAAATCTCGTGTTATCTAGAAAGAACCCATTTTTCTTCAGCAGAAGGAAAACCTAAGTAGGAGGAAACTCAAAAGGCTAACGTCTTCAAATGCATTTTAGTCCTTTTGGGGCCTGGGATCAGTTAAAATCCTCCATTTTGGGAAACCTCCCCCCCCATCCCACCTCCCTTAAAACTGCCTAGATTATTCCTGGCAATTAACGTAGAAAAGAGTTTGAGCGTGATGATGTTTGAACCTTAATGCATTCCTCAAGGTTAGTGACAGATACTATACTAGTGTTCTTATTCCTGCATACGATTTAATAGACGGTTCGTGTATTTTGAGTTTTTCTATCGATGTCCTATAGGCTTTTAAAGGACCTAAGTTACGGTTTGCACATCTTGAAAAGTTTCACCTGAACTTTTCAAGTTCGTCGTTTGCAACCCGTGTCAATCTTCTCCATCCTTAACCATCCTTGTTCCTTTATGGTTTATCACTATGTCTTTGGTGTTTTTCTATCTTATTAAACTGTTATTTTCAGGTTTCCTACCATTTAAAGGTAATTGTGTATGTGACCAAAAAAACTCCAAATACAGTGACTGAGCCCCTTTAAATTAAGAGAGATATATCAATAGGGTGTTGATCATTTACCTCGATGACTGCCTGGCGTTCCTCATACGTCAACGAATCGAGCCTTTTCGATCCTAGTGTAAAGTCTGGGTTCAGTTCCAGTTCTCTTGCCACCATCAGGTACTCCAGATATCGATCATGGAACTGCAGAAGACGGGAGACTGGGCACGGCTCCCAACCACTTCCTGGAAAATGTTTAAATCGATGAGACAGCTTTTGATGTCATTGTAGCGGAACAGATAAAGGACATAAGAAATACGTGGGATTGATCATGACTGATTGCTAAATTCCCACAGAAATTGCTTGGTTGTCTACAAGGTCAATTCCAAGTTGCCTTTTCCTTGTGAAACACTTTTCAAATGAAAAAGAGTTCAACATGCGTGAAAATATAAAAGAAAAACACTCTTAGAAAGGTTTCGCACAAAGATTCGTTTTAACCCGAATAAGGAAGACCCGGGTTTGAGTTCTGACCAACTGAAGCTCACTGCAGACTTCGAGTGGTCGGTTTTTGTTCCTGAAATCCTCCGCGCACGGCGCTTAGTATCGTGCAAACTAGGGAAAGAAACGACGTCACTCAACCGCCCTCGCATGATCGCACTTTAGAGACTTAACATCTCGCACGCTAGGAAAAGAAAGACATTGCTCGCAGTCTAAGTTCACTGCGTTGCATTTTTGGAGAAGACACTTTTCTCTCACAGTGCCTCTCTCCGCTCATGCAGGAGTAACCTTGACACACCTTTAACATCGCACTTTCCTCTCCGTTCAATTCCCATCATGATACCAATGCGACAAGCAAACTTGTGTAGTTCACACGTGTTGCTGAATTCTCTCAGGTACACGCTGCACACAGGATTGTACTCGTCAGGACAGGAGTCTGGGCACACACACTTAGTGGAACGGTCTTCGTTTACGACGCACATGCGCCCTTTGGTGCAGAAAACGTTCCGACAAGGATCTGTCGAGAGAATGCGCGAAAATGAACCTTTAATAAAAATAAATTACTAATAGGCAAGATGTAAGGATAACAAATTGCCGGACGCCAGTTTTTCATTCGTCGGTCCCGTTATTGATCATGAATTTTGTCATAACATTGTCAAAGTAGCTGTGGATCCACGAGGCGATAGCCGAGTGGATCCGCAGACTAGTTTGACGATATCATGACGAAATTCACGATCAATAACAAGACAGACACATGAAAAACTGACGTCAATTTGTTTTTTACAATAACAAATTGATAAAATAGTCCTCTCTGGCTCGTTGACGCATCGCACAAATTATAAATTAATTCTTGAAACGACGGCATTCCTGTTGAGTTTTTTAAGAAGCTTTAGCCCTTAATCAGTGTACCTTTCATAAAATGTGTAAAGGAATGTTTTGAGAATAAAGAATTATCAAGCTCTCAAAAGCAAGCTGTAACAGCTCTTATTGAAAAAAAAGGAAAAGATCGTACTTTATTAGAAAACTGGCGGCCAATTTCCCTGTTAAATGTAGATTCGAAGATAATAGAAAACTGGCGGCCAATTTCTCTGTTAAATGTAGATACAAAGATAATGTCCAAAGTCATAGCTTTCAGGTTAAAAAATGTTTTTCCTAATATCATCCACTATAATCAAACTGGNCGTTGTAGAGAACTAAAATGTAACAAGTATGTAATTTATATGTTTATGAAATTTATCTTTGATAAAAAGAGAGCATTGTAAGTAAGCCTACTGTAATTTAATTAGCGTTATCGCATTGTAATATATGTATTGTGATTAGTGCATGTATAAATAGTGTAAGTATAAGTAGGGTAAGGAGCAAGTACTGTGTAAGTGTAGATGTAAGTATAATATTAGTACTGTAAGTAGTGTTAATGTTCGTCCTGTAAATAGAATTGCATTAAAAAAAAAATGTGTCTGTCCGCTTATCGACAATGAAAATTAACCAATGAGCGCGCGCGAATTTCTGCTGTTATTATAACATTGACAATGATCAAATGATTGTGGAAGAACCTTTAAAACTGAGGTATCACTCATAGGTAATTACGAAGATGATAATGTGCCCGTAACAATATATACGACGCTGATTTTAGGCTTATAATCATATAGATTATCTGATACATGTACCTTACTAAATGTTTCTGTTTGATATGATGCGCATGTTTGGTAATATACTCCATTTGAGCAAGTCTATAATGGTACAGAATATTGATTGATTGCTTGACTGACTGGCTGGCTCGCTGACTGACTGACTGGCTAACGTACCGAGCAAGTCACTAAATGGGCGAAACTTGCTCGTCTGGCGAGACAGAAGACAAAGGAATCGCTAGCTAACTGACAGACTGAACTTGAGGACTATTTGAATGTTTGACTGACTGATAGACTGACTGACTGATTGACTGACTGTATGAATGAATGAACGAACGAACGAACGAACGAACGAACGAACGAACGAACGAACGAACGAATGAATGAATGAATGAATGAATGACGACGACTGACTGAAACCTCTGACTTGGTAACTGATACATTGAGAATCTCATTTGGCTGAGCTCACTGACTCGGTTCGAGACAGTTTCAGAGACAGCGCTCAGCTGCAAACATCAGCAAAATGGTGTTGAAAAATGTTTGTCAGAAAAGGTTAAGCAGCAACATTTCCAGTACAAAGTTTCTAGTAGCACCCCACGCAGACATTTCGTACTCTCAAGGAGACTTTTTTTACCTCACCGAGACCGAAAAATGTCTCAGGACTGGGTTATTCTCTTATTGGAATTTCCGGTTTCAAATATTTACATATTTCGCACTTGGTTGTAATTTGTTTATATCAAAATATTAAACCAATCAGAGACTTTTCATAGCGTTAATCTTTAAAGACAAATGAATTGTTTTTGATAATTGTTGGAGTAAGAAATACCCAATCAGCACTGTTTTTTTTTAGGTTAACAGCCAATACATCTGGTTAGACGTTCCTGTCTCCAAATATAACTCATTTTGAAAACATATGGTTCGTTTATCTATATTAGAATTGACCTCTTTTACCAGTAATTCCTTCCTGATGTATGTGCTCTTTAAAATCGAACTTACCGTTTTGTTTTGCCAGTGTTTGTTCCGCGGTCTTCGCAAGAGCGGTTCAGCAGATGAGGAAAATGAAGACAAAAATAAACAGGAATTAGAAAAAAAATATAAACAATGAATGCTACCTTTTTCTCTTTTTGTTTTGATTTGGTATTAAATTTGCCAAAGCAGTTCCTGGGCAGCGTAAATCTCTTAAATCGATTTGAGGTCGCTAGATCTCCATGTCTCGATCGGACTCTCTGATTTCCGATCTCGTAGTCCAAAAACTTACAACATGGAACTACGTGAAAAGGCAATCAAAGAAACGTATTCCCCCAAGACATCTAGATGAATCGATTCGGTTATTTTCATATTCCCTGAATAGCTATTTATCCGCTAAATATCATCAACTCTGAAAGCCGGCAACCAGGCCCTGGGCGTCTTACTACCGGAACACCCAAAATACGCGCAGTTATCTTGCCATAAGCACACGGTTATCAAAGCATCACTTTTTGGCTTTTATCGATATCGCCAGAATTTGCTAGTGAAAATGCCACCTTAGAATTTATAGCTCATCTAAAATAATTGAGATTATCGCTTAACTCCGGATTATAAAAATCCACTCAAGAACTGAGGAAACCAAAAGCATTACAAGAATTTTTACAAGTCTGTCCTGTGTCCTAATTTCAGTTATGCGAGTAGATCTGATTGTGGTAAAGATTAATGGCTTATGAGAGCCTCAGCTAGCCGTAACGGTGAAGATAGCCATGGACATAAAAGTAAGGACATACATGTAGGTCTAATGAAAACCAAGGTCCACCTTAATCAAAACATATATAGCATTTAGCCGCATAAGAATTGATTTTTAAAAATGCCATGTGTCAATATTTATCGTACAATCAACATCAATGAGGGATTGTTTACTTTTTACAAAACAGCGAGTGAACGAGAACAAACGCGACTATAAGTTGTTTTGTTAGAAAGCAAAAGGTAGTCTCTTAGCTAGACGTTTCTTTTCATCAATCCCTAACAATAAGTTGGCTTCTCGACACTCGAACGAACATGGCAACACAATCACACTAAATCACTGTACAATATACTCACCACTACCGTGTGAAAGAAGACATATGCGATCGCAAAATAAAGAAATGCAACTTGCATCTTGATACAGCGTTTTCCTGCCCTTCCTTTATCGCTTTAGAGGCTGCTTGACCAACGGATCTGAAACGTTCCTGTACGATGTTCGTAGATATTGCTTCTCGTGGTCAAATGATCGACTCTCTTCTTGATTGGAATGTAGGTGTCTGCGTACAAATATTTGGAGTAATTTTACACCCTGCATTTTGTAATACTTATACAACTGACAGAATGCTGTCATCAAGACCACAGATGACATTCCCAGTTGTCACACCATGGAGATAAACTTGGAATAGGGAGAGGGTGGGCAATTTGTCTGTTTCATTAGCACTGTTGTATTTTTTCGTTTTCTTTTGGCAACTATTTTCTTTTCTACCTCTTGGTATTATTTGGCAGTTTTGGATCACTGCACTCGAATTTTCCCTTTCTTTTCATCTAGGAAAACGTATCTTTAAGATTGCCCATCCTTCCTTCTCTAGGGGAACCAATCTTTTGGCAATCTTCTTTCTTAATTGGAACGCCATGCAATGAAACAAAAGAAGGATATCCGGTTTTACATTGGGCAGATCGGCTTTTATAGAGAAACAACAACCTTGCATTGGACGTCACGCAATATTTGGTCATTTTCCAACAACGTATAATGCATGCGGAAGCCTCCAGTCTGACTGAGCGGAATGTCATACCTGAATTAATTAGCATGACTGTTGATATTGACACGGAGCGGGTAACCTGAAGAACAGTATGCATGATCTAAGGGACGGACCATGACTTTATTTTTTGAGGGGAGTGTGGGGGTTGGACAGTTTCCAAAAGAAAATTCCTGTACAGCAAAACTGCCGAATGGGGAAAACAATCGAGCGGGTGCTTTCTGCTATCCAGGTCCTGTTGTTCTTGAACAAACTGTTGGCCACCAAATCAAATAATGCACAACCTCAAGGCGAGAAAATATTTTCTGTTTTATTACATATCGATTTAATCTACAAATTTTCATTAACGCAGTAACTCTATATGCCATAATTGAAATTCAGTGCAGCAAACCAAGGAGAGCCAAGTGTTAGTAAACGTGATTTCGTAAGAACCTGCAGTTATAGTGCGAGTTTTCACCAATGAATGAATATCTGAGTATATTCACTTAGTTGATGATCTGAGCTACTAAAAAGACAATCAGGATGAGGAAAATCTAATGCATCAGTCAATTCCAGCAGTACCCATCCCCGCCCCGGGCAACCGCGGGGCATTTGCTCACGTTGTCAGTCCCGAGGGTGGGGCATCCGCAATTTTATCGCGGCCCGGGGGCTGGGCATTTGCGCACCCCGGGGCGACCCTCGGGCATTCGACACTCGTGTTTTGGAAAATGCCATGCGGATGAATTCATCGGGAAAGACGAGGCGTTTGTCGAACAATGGCTTGTTCGCCAGGGACTAGAGAAACTTGCAGATGTTTTTAAAGGTATGTTTTCTCAATTTTAGATATTTCTTCATTACTTGTAAGCATATAAATATAAGTGACAAGGTGAACTATATTGTTTTTATCACAAAACAATCACTGACGTGAACACGACTTATTTCGCATTTCGCATTCAAAACTAGCCTAGCATTTTTTAAATTCATGAAAGTGGAATTAACATACTTAAGGTTTGCGAATTCAAAGGACGTGATCTTCAAGACAGATCTTGCGAGCTTGAAATACAATGCATCATCATTTAGAATGTCTTGATTCTTCACAGAAAAAGTAGCCTGCGAATACAAGCGCCTATCATCGCTCGCGGCTGGGGGCACGTCCGCCGCAATCCCAGCTATCCTCTAGCAAACTGTTAGAAACAAATATAAAAAGAGATAAATACAATCAGAATCAACTAACGCGTACTGTTGTCCTTGAAGTCTTACCATTGCATTAAAATACTGAACAGATGACCGTTTTATTTACTGATTAATTAAAAAAAACTGCAGAGGTGTTGGAAGGCGACGATCCCGGGGGCGGGGCATTTGCCCTCTTTCTTCGTCCCCACCCCGGGGCATTTAGACAGCTTATGTGTCCCCAACCCGGGGAATTTGCCCATTTTTTTTTAAAAAAATGCTAATGCCCGGGGGTTAGCCCGGGGGGGGGGGGATGGGCACTGCTGGAATTGACAGATGCATAAACACTGACACTTGTCCTGACACTAAAAATTAAACACGAAATTCCATAATTTTTAGTTGTCGCTGGGAGCTCGAGACTTAGATCACAAGGTACGATAAAGTGGCATGACGTTCAATGTCTTCAATTGGTGTACACCCTCTACGGCGACACAAGGGTCCATAAGCAAGGCAGTAACTGCGACCCATGCGTTGTTTACATACCTCTTATCTGACTGTTATTCTTAAGCGGGTTCTTAAGCCTACTCACATCTTATAAATGGTGCGTCTCCAAGCTACTTCAGCAAATCAAACCCTTTTAACGTTGGATTGTTCACTTAGAAGTTGAACCTTATCAGTAGAAGCGCTTGGACTTCCCAACTGTGTTGAGTGTTTGTCATCAAACTCGATATGCTTCAACAACCTTCGCTCCCAGTCCATCCTCTCCAAGGCGCTTGCATAATCCAAAAACGTTCGTCTTCGTAACGTCTTCGGAAGTCGATCCTTGTCGACGTGATCGACTCGAATTAGCAACAGAGACGAGTCTGCCATTTCTGTACAGCGGTATAGCGCTATTTCCAGCTCCTCTCGGCAGAAGTGGCTTGAAAGATAATTGTGCGAGATGATAGCTAGCACCTTCCTACTGTTGTAGACGCTATCGGCTATGTTTTCAATGATTGCCTTTCCAACTATAAAGTCCCGGCTGTGTATACAGTAGTTGATTCGCTTTCGCTCCAGCACTGGAGTGAGGTTGTCTCGTACCCAGTTGTAGTCGAGTGTGCTAAAGCTTATAAAGACATCGTACTGGAAATCTTTTGATGGCAATTCATCTTTAAAGGCAACAAAAATTAAAATAAAATCAAAAAGTGAGGAAAAAAGAATTGACGAGATTAACGTAAATAAGTTACTCAAAGTGACATCGAGAAATTGATTCAATGATCTTGGGAAATCTTGACCATTAAAATTTTTTGTCGTCCAGTAGCTTGGTCAGTAGTTTCGGCCCTCTACAACTAATGTCAGTTTTATACAGTGAATCTGGTGTTTATTGTAACATTAATTCATACATAATTCAGCGACTCTGAGTCTTTTTTTTTTTTCATACTCTTTGATTTTGTTTCCTTTTTTCTAACCGTTTTAATATTCTTGCCTGGCTGGGAGGGAGTTCCTGGGGTTTTCCGTAAACACGTAAACAAACCAAAGGAAAACAAACAAAAGGCATTTAACTTAGCAACTTACGTTTCCAATGCTTTCGTCTCCTGCTCCATTGTCGGTGAGCAATGGCGGCCATCACCAGACCGCAAAAGATCCCTGCTCCCACGAGAAGGATTTCCGTCAAAGATGCCTTTTGCCCCCCGTGCTTAGAATCTAAGTAAGACAGCAACCATGAGATAAACAAAAGTTATTAGCCCAGGAAGAGAGTGACACTAAAGATAAACCAAAATAAGTAAACGTTGCCGAAAAGAGGGGGTGGGGGTGGGGAAGGGGGTTAAAACTGGTTCATAGGCCAGTGACTTCCAGGGGCCTTACTGGGGCATCGGGAGCATTTAAGCATTTACTCTTGGTATTTTCGTGGACTTCTTCGTCGTGAAAATAGCACCATTATGCCAAATGGGACACCAAAGACTGAGGAACTCTGAACAGTGCGTAACGTTCCAAAGCATAGTCAAGAACACTGAGTGCCCACCGAGTGCCCACCGAGTGTGGCAACATCTTTTAAGACCCTGTTGAGCGGGAAATCTTTGGGTACCAAACACGATCAAACATTGTGGTGACCAACCATGTTGATGTTGTACTGAATGGCCAAACGGTGTCTATCAAATATATTTTGAAGAGCAAAATTTTTACAATGTTCGATGGAAGTTTTGTCGTCGTTAAAATTTTTTCAAACAAGATCAAACAAGGTGTCCAAACGAGAAAACATTTGGTCAAGAAACAATGTTTGATCGTGTTTGATCGCTAAACATTTCCTGTTTGGACAGGGCTTTACACAAGTAGAACCTTTACGTATTTTCTACAAATGTTGCCTCAACAATTAGCGGAACAAGGCTCTAACACATCGACACGGGCGCACCGTATAACCCTGCATGCAAATACCTGGTTTAACAAGGCTCAGGTAGATTGTGTCCGAGTCATTCCCTTTAAGAGTACGAACCCCGCAGTGGTAGGCTCCAGTGTCACGTTCCGTCACGTTCCTTATGAGAAGGGAGAAGTTTACTTTAGGCGTCTCTTGTTCTTGAAAATACTCAAAGTCTGACTGGTGATGAATGTTTTCATTATTGTCCAGTGGAAGTGAGGTTCCATTGAATACCCAGAAAACAAACGTGTCCCTGTCTGGAGTATTTTCTCCAACGCACGCCAGTAGTGCGTCACCACTTTTTGGGATGGCCACTTGGTGTTTAGAAGCGTACGGGTGAACCTTAGGAGGTTTTCCTGGATATTTTCCTGAACGGTGGAATAGAAAGAGAGCTAACCGTTTTACAGGTAACGAAACTCTTCTATTTTCTACTCTTCTACTCTTCATCTTTTTATCCAAGCGGGCCCCTTTCTCGAAAGTTCTGGTAACTTTAAATTTGCGGACCCGAAGTCATATTTTAAAAGATCTGACTCTAAGGAACAGTAGCGAATGTTTTGGCTTAAAAACCAGCCCATTCTGTCCATTCAGTCCATTTTATCGTTTGAATTTCAAAACACATATGTTTGAACACGGCAAACAAAAACAGCTTTTCGGGACCGGTAACTGCCGGGACTTAAAACAGAAGGGCAAGGGTAGACCTGGGAGAATGTCAATCGACCCACGCCCGTACCAAAAAGAGCGAGGGTCGATATTCTTCCTGTATCATCCCGAGCAAGCTTGGGTAGTAAGAGATGCATTAAATGACTGAGGATGTTCACAGCAAAGGTAAAAAAATCCCACATACGGACTGGCAAGATATCGGCTGACTTAGCGTTTTCTAACGTTTGCAGTTTTCACCAAAAATTGGAAAAAAAGTTGGGAGAAAAAGAACCGGCTAATATTTTACCTGTATCTGACCATGTTATTTAAGAAAAGTAAGTAAGTAAAAAAAAAAAAAAAAACAAAAAAAAAAACAAACAAACAAAAAACAAACAAACAAACAAAAAAAAAACAAACGAAGAAAAATGAGCGAGACATTGGGGAATTTGAGGACTAGGCTAACTATCAAACTAAGCACAGCCAATAACAGAAAACTAAATAGTAGAGCTGGGCCGCTTTGTCTGAAAGCCGGCTAACCCTAACCAGGAGTAAAAGTTAACCGAAGCATTAAGTTTCGTTGTATAAAATGCTTTTCACTTCTTAGGTTCGTGTAGTTTGAGATTTTTCAAACTTCAAACGGAAGGAAAAACAATATAAACCGAAAACCTTACCGAAAAGTTACAAAACTGAAATCAAACTTCTCGCTAATAATCCTGCGATAGTTTAATCGGGCTTTGAACAACCTGGCTTCGGATACTTACTTTCAAGGAAGAGATTAATGTCATGTTGTTCCTCGCCAAATCTGTTCCTTGCCACACAGCTGTATTGACCAGCATGCTTCTGTCTGACATAAAGAATATCTAAATCCAGGCCTGAATCAAGGCCGTTTGCTCTTTCTGTTAGCACGTACGAGTGCTCAGCATCGCCATCTTGAATCTCCATTCCGTCTTTGAGCCAGGTGAAGTAAGGCTTCGGCCAACCACTGGCGTAACAATGGAAGACAGGATTACGCCCCTCAGACATAATCTGTGGTGTTGTAGTGAAAAATCCCTTTGTTGTCAAAATGCGTGGGCGAGCTTGATGAGTTGGAAAATATTATGTTAGAATGGCCTACTATTTGTAATTAAACACTGAGGAGTCGGCTATGACTTTGACGTTGTCTAGCTGCCACAGTTAATTCCTAAGGGCCCTTCTGTCATGATTTGGTTCGCGATGAAATCTATTCTCACCACTTTTAGTCGGTAAATGGCAATTTTTTTTTGTAAATTGAGACTTGTTTGACAATAACAAAACTTACCATCGTGTGTTGTTTGACAATTTACCATCAAAATCTTCTGAGTAGAAACATTGCAAATGTTGAATTTCATTGGTGTAAAAGGAATATGAAAGTAAGAAATGCTCAACTCCATTATTCTCTCAGTATAGGTAGAACTGATCAAACAAAGCAAACTTGTTCGATTTTTTCCCGGGAGGACCATGCCTGTGTCCGCCGTTTCTGTCATGAACCTGCCAATCTGGGTCTTACGATATCTGCTGATTATAATATGAGCGAGATGATAAGTTAAATTTAATATAAAATTCCGTTCTCAATACTTCTTCTCAATCTTTACGAAGATTTATTTTCAGGGGGGACTAAAGCTTACTGAGGGAAGATTGAAACATATTACTTACAATATACATGGAGAACTGCGTAGCAAACATCCCGTTTCCTGTTCTTCTTAACTTCACATTGGTATGTCCCAGAGTCCTTTACGCTAATATTGCTTAATCGTAAACTCGACCAGAGACCTGGAGACGATGCCGATGATACTGTGAATAGCCGCTGACTGTTCGCTATAGTGTCTTTTTTCTTCCACGCGATCTGCCTTGCTGGTCCTCCTTGGACGACGGAACAATTTAGGGAAACTGTTTCGCTGGAATTCACAGATAATTCATTCCCTTGAAAGGAGTGGTTCTGTATTTGGCACAAGATGTTTCCACCGTCTAAACCTGGTGAAAAAGAGATCGGATGTCTAATCCGAGGTTGAAATTCTCTTCTTATAAGAGTGGTTTTCTATTGCAGGTGTTGAACAAAAAGTCTTCATGTTGCCGCACGTCTGTTTAGTGAAAGATCACAGATGACGACAAAATATGGCAAGAACAAAAAAGTGACACAGAGCCCTAAGGTGAGTGTGTCACTGATGTTTCTAACTATATTTTGACGTCATCTCTGTACTCTTTTTGACGCACGGCAACATGGGAAATCTGTTTTTTACAATAAATAACAAACAAACAAAAACTCAGGTTAACGACTTCATGTATACGTCTGTCCTCAGAAAGATCATTAAAAAATTATTCTTTTTTGATTAAGGGGGTAATTATTAAAACAGTTTACGAAGTAAAAAAAAATTGAAGATAATGATCAAATGTGACAAGCCGCTGTAATGTAATCGACGATGACTACAATTTTGAAATGGATTGTTGAAATGAGGCAGATGTTTCGCATATTCTTGACATTGTCAAAAATCTGCCGCTCAATCCTTTTTAAGATAGGATCAAAATGAACTGCTCCGAATGGTATTGAAACAAAACCACAAAAAAAAAAAAAGAGAAAAACATACAGCTTTATGTTTATAATGTAACCGTTATTGGATTCAGTTTTCACACGGGGGCGAAATTACAAATCAATGAGCCCTCTGTTTATTCATGAATTATCTTATCCGTGCTTCTGGCACGAAGGACTCTTAAATCTTCTAATAAATGTCCATGATTTGACTTGTTTGTGTACCAATTTTTCTTTCTGTCCTATCTCGACTTCTTGAAGCACAAATGCTTGCTATATTATGTTTAACTTGCTCGTAAAACTGGATTTAATCTCAGACGGTACATCTGTTTTTATAGACATTATATTTGATCTCAGATGAAAACGTTTCAACCCACGCCGTCCGTTACGGATCTGATTATGATTCTGAAAAAACAAAGTTTTGCTTTCCAATGATTAGATACGCAATTCTCAAGACCTGTTTGCTTAGATTTGGTTTGTGAAGATAAAGAGAAGCTAGCGAATGATCATACTTGTAAATGAAAGCTTTCAATGTAAGTAAACACAACGACAACGTTGACCGCATTCGCACGCTGTAACCAAAACCTGAATAGTTGATACCTTTGGTGTTGGAAACGTGTTAAAGATGCAGCTGACTAGGTAGATTCGTGTTCCAGACTTACCGTAACATAAGACACAAACAATAGCTCCGCTCAAGATGAAACGATTAAATAAAATTGCCATAGATGTCAATTTTAAAACGCATATGAAACAATGTCTCCAATCTTCGTGAAGAGAACTCTCGGAACATCAAACCGAGAAAAAAAAAACTTCTTGCAAGCACAGAAAACACAAGTGTGCTTCCAATTGTGTCCGATTTTTTTGCTAATATCTCAGATAAAAAAAAATAATGTAATTACCATAATCAAACAATTTCAGAGCGTAAAATTTGTCGGTATTGCTCTAATCTTGGATTTGTTCAGTTCCGACTTTCGCCTGACTGAGCACTCCGGGGAATTACATTAGTCGCTATTTATTTTAGTCTGAAGAAAAAAAAAACCGCTATCAACAGAAATTTACATTTGGTTTAATTTGTATCTTTTAAGACTGAATTCGAACCACTTTAGTGACGTATTGCGTTTATATACAAACGTATCTCAATCTACCATTTTTTTTAGCATTTCACCATCTTGCGTAGAAACCTTTAAAGTTATCGCGTGCAGACAGAGAAAACTTTGTTACAATTAAAAATGTAAGATGTGCTCAGCTTCCTTCAAAACACCGCATGCGTCTTGAATCAAGCTCAATGGGATATTACTTCGAAGATGTCTTTCTTTCATTTAGCGTGGCGTGGTGTTAATTTGAAAATATAAAAAGTGTACCAAAAACATTAACGGAAGTTGTCCGTTGTAGTACTTTATTTACGAGAGGAAAAAATATTGCCGAAAGCTCTAAAGGACATGAAGAAATCTCGCCAAATTAATCACATTTTGGTGGGGAACCCATAGGGAGAACCTGGCGTTGTAAATTAGATTAGCTTTTTCAAAAGATTTAATTGATACTTTCAGATTGTGCGAAAACACAGAATCCGCAGCGCTAATGAAAGATTAAATAGTAACAAAGTTCTGAAATAAAGGGTACGTGACCGATCGACCATGCAGGTTTTTTTCATTTCAAAAGCTTTAAGCACTAGAATTGTTATTAAGGGGGTTATCTCACTATCCAATATCAGGGACAACGAAAAAACAAAGCAAAACAAAACAAAACAAAACAAAACAAAAAAGACCGCATACATTGGGAATTCCCCGTCTTGTAGAATTTGGAAGTCAAATTTCCTACATGTCAAGTTTAAATCGACCAATGCAGCATATGATTCGTTCAACTAAACCTGTTTCCTAGCATAGGACGGACTGTTTTCATTTACTTTATCTATTTATGCACAGGGTCTAGAAACAGGAGGCGCGGTGTCCTCATGGTTAGTGCGCTTGCCTAAGTAGCGAGCCGTTCGAACCCTGGCCGGGGACATTGTGTTGTGTTCTTGGACAAGACACTTTACTCTCACGGTGCCTCTCTCTAGCCAGGTGTATAAATGGGTACCGGCGAATTTAATACTGGGGGATAACCCTGCGATGGACTAGGATCCCATCCAGGGTGGAGTAGAAATACTCCTGGTGGCTTCAGGCTACTAAAACCGGGATAAGGTTCGGCCTGGTGGGCTACTTGGCTTGTATGCAGACTTTACCTACCTACCAAGAAACCGTGGAATTCTGATTTTTCGAACCTCTGAGGGACAAGCTTGGTTTGAAAAATCGGGTAGTTCGAGAAATCGAGGGCACAATTAGTGGTGGACTGAAATAGGAAAACGATATTTAGCTCGAAAACTATGGATTTGACTGTGTATTTTCCGTTGCTAGGCTTTTTATCTTGAACACAACACTCGGAACCTGTAGAGTAAGAACCTAGAAGTTTTTCTACGAGTTAAATGGCCCATCAGGCGGGAGCTTATCTCGGCTTCTGTAGCATGAAGCGACTAGGGGTATTTCTACTCCCCCAAGGGTGGGATGCTAGTCCATCGCAGGGTTACCCCGGCATTAAGTTCGCCGGTACCCATTTATACACCTGAGTGGAGAGAGGCACTGTGAGAGCAAAACGTCTTATCAAAGAACAGAACACAGTGTCCCCGGCCAGGGCTTGGAACCGCACCGCTCGATCCGGAGCCGAGCGCAATAACCACGAGGCCATCGCGCCTCCCAAATCACTTCAGCAAAAGCGTCAAGTAATTAGCAATACAAAGATATGGAATGACCTCGCTAAAAATGTTTTATGCGATCAATAGCTCAGTTCTCCAAGTAAACACGTAAACTGTATGATGGAAACAGGTAGGGAGAGTTTATTGATTTGTGACCTGTTTTCGGGTACCTGAATAGGACAAACAGAAGAACTATCAATGCCTTTGGTTGTTTCAAAAGAATATATCTTGGTGCTTGTTAAATATTAAAAGGTCGAGGATTGAAACAAAAACTTGGCCATTCGACCAAGATAATTTTCAGTTAAACTGGTTTGAAAAGAAATATTCAAATCTGCCGAGCATCACGGATTCGCGAAAATAATTTCGGAGCAAAGTAAGTGTGTTTTCCTTATGCTATGATTCAGCTGTGTTTAAAGAGGTAATCGTCAGCAGAAAATGTTATGATAACAATTCGTTTCACTGTCTCAGCATTTCACAACAAAACAAAATCGATATCTAGGTCATGAGCCTGCTCCCTTTCCAATAAACAGCCTGTTTCAAAATGGCTACCGTCGTTAAAATCTCTACGGACAGATTTGATATCAAGATTTGGCACTTTCTCTTTTGTCTTTTATTTTATTACTGTCACAGTTCACTAGACCTATAATATTTTTTAGATATTCTTGAAGACTGCAGCTTAAATACGTATTTTACTGCATTTTTACGTCACACTTAATTATTTCAACCCCATAACTGTATATACTTTCGCTGTACATACAGCCTTTACGAAATTTTGTCTATTGAACAAGACCTCTGTCGCCGCCATACTCCTAGGAGTACTTTTAACAATTATTTATATTCCATATAACATGATATCAGCTTTTAATGTATTAGTGTTTATAACCCTCTTCAACGGTCTTATAAATGCAATAAGTTTTCCAAAGACGAAAAGCAAGCTTAGAATCTATGTATTTTATTATTATTTTATTCACTCTTTCTAGAGCAACTACCAACATATGGATTGGAAATATTGGTCATTTCTTTATTTTCTTGGAGTATGGTTGATGGTTTGTACATCTACTTCTGGTCGCTTGGCGTTAAAACAAGGTAAAATTAAACGAACTAAAATAACCTACTTTTGATCGCTCCTTTGCTAAATCATGTAAAAACTGAACCCCTTTTCTGTCTCCTAATCTCTTGGGAGAAGAACAGTTACGGAAATTTGGCATGCAAGGGATTAAAAGTGGTTAAACAGTAGACTACCTCATCTCGCAATCTTCTTCGTAGTAAAATATCCGAAGATTGACAGCACTCATTTCGGTGTCAAGATTTAGAAGACTTCTCATCTTACGGTGTAGCAAAGGATTCTATGAGTCTACTTTATGTTGTCCTGCACCACAAGTCCATAACCGCTTTTGCAAATAACGTAATGACTACTTTGTCGGACACGAGAGCCATACACTGACAGACTCTTACAGAGAGACATTTAATTAGTACCCTGGTGTATAAATGTGCAGGCTGAATCGTCGGGGCAAACTGAAAAAATAATGCCAGAAGTAACCAAAGATAGAAGGAAGCGATGATGCAAGTCGCAAGAAGTTTAGTAAATTTACAGAAAGTGAAGAGAAAATGTGAACAATACTGCCAACGGATAGTTTCAACACTGGCATGTTATTTTATGGCAGAAGCTTTCACTGTAGGTGCATGAGTTATGACCAATCGGGAATCGTGTTTTGCTGCTGTCGCAGGACAAAATTCGATCTTAAAAACCACTCTTTAAGGATTTTACATTTGTAACCATTTGCCATTCAATGCTCTTGAGCTCAAAATTATATCCAATAGAATATTCTAATTTAGCACCATACATTTCTTCGATCTCAGATGAATTGTTACACATTCTTAGTGGTATTTCGAGACTTTATCTCATATTTGAACATTTACAACGATGTCATTGCCAGTTTACTGAAGTACATTAAAACCGTAAGGAGAATTAAGACGCTTTTATCACACCCTTAAAATGGATAAACTATCACGGCTTAATTCCAGAATTTAAACGCGAGGATTATACATGTGGAAACGACTGCCCGGATTACTGCTACCCCGAATGTTATCCCGGTTGCTGCAATTACCCCACGTACTACACACAGCCTCCTCCACCACCTCCTGCTCCCCCGCAACCCGGACCCCCGGGGGCTGACGGCCCAGTCGGTCCCCCTGGACCTCCGGGACCGGATGGACCAAAGGGAATACCGGGACCTCCCGGATTACAGGGGCCACCGGGACTTCCTGGACCTCCTGGCAGCCTAGCGGGACCACCCGGTATGTATACTACGGATAGTCCTTACTAAAGACGTGAAAAGAAATCGAGAACAATTAGAAATCCTTTGTTTAAGGAACGTTTTACGGTTTAGTAAATAGGTGACCTTAGATTTACAATCTAGGAGTAGAAACTGTGTGGCGATTTACTTAGATAGCGAGGATTAAGAAAGCAAAACTGAACAGAGTTTTGTAGAACGTACAACATTGGATGAAACTCTGCCGTTGTTCCTATTGATCACCTATCCTGCTTCATCGCAGGAGGCGGTCTTAGCAGTTGACTGAGGCTTATTCTAGCTGTATAAGGATGCAAAATTATGTTCCTTCCCTACAGGTGCTTCAGGACCTTCAGGAAATCCTGGACAGCCAGGAAGTTTAGGTGAACCAGGGGATATGGGACCTGTTGGCCTTCCTGGAGCCCCCGGGCCGCCAGCTCCACCAGGACCACCAGGTAAGCTTGATTTGAATTGTTGCTTCTATTATCATTTTCATCGCTATCGCTATCGTCATCATCATCATCATCATCATTATCATCGTCGTCGTCATACTCGTCGATATCGTCAGTATCGTCATCACCACCACAATTATCATCGTTATTATAATCGTCAGCCTCATCGTCATCATGATCAACAACTTTATCATAATCGTTATCGTCAAAGTCATTATCATCATCCATAGATATTTGACATATAATTGACATTGCAGTAATCTATTTGACTTCACCAGGAATGAAAGGACCCAGCGGTGATAACGGCCCCCCTGGAACCATGGGAGAACCCGGAAGCCAAGGCGACCCCGGTGCCGCCGGCCTACCGGGCCCTCCGGGACCACCAGGACCTCCTGGAGTGCCAGCCGCTGCACCTCCGCCATCGTGCCCTGAGATTTGTGAGACAGTCTGTGTTAGCATATGCCCGAGCACATGTTGCTCCTCCAGAGAAGGTGTACCAGGACCCGAGGGTGAGCTCTTGATGGTAGACCGCGGCAAAATCGTGTCCCTCATCAGCTCCTGTTTTATGACATAGACAGAGTAATCGATCTCTTATATCATTCATCTTAAATCAGAAATGTTGATAAAACCAGATATATTGGCAACCCACTTTGAAAAAAATATTGCTCGAAACTAGGTGACTGATAAGCGAAACTCGAGTCTTTCTTTTAATTTATGTTATGATTTAGAGATCAATTGACCTGGTCTGACTTGAAGGTCCGTTTATTGAAAGCATTATGTTTCTGCCCATTTTCTTTCGTTGTTTCTAGGCCAGCAAGGACCAAAAGGATCAGACGGTCCCATGGGAGCTATGGGAGCTCCAGGCAGTCCAGGAGACGCGGGAGCTGCTGGACTCCCGGGGCCACTTGGCCCGCCGAGACCTCCGGGAGTACCAACTTCTGCAGCCTCGAGCTCCGCCTATGATTCCCAAGCTGGAGCACCTGGTCCTGCAGGTACATGAACTTCGCTGTCATCTCTGAATTTGAGGGCAAAGAAGAAGCGGCACTTTGTTTTAATCAAACATCAATAACAGCAAATACGACAACAACAAAGAGATAAACAATCAAAATACAAGTTGTCACTAGGTGTACTAGGTGCCCAAAATAACCGTATTGGCTAGCTAATTATAAGGTTGAAATAAACCGATGTCAAAACTGCAACTGCCAAGCTTGTCCCACTGCCTTCTCAATAAAGCAGGAGCCTATCACCCAGAGCCTCCATACGTATTATATCCTTGAGTCAATCCTTTCCAGCATCTTTTATTTTTAGAATTGGTCTCCTGCAGGTCTCAAGCTATCGTCTTAAAATTAATATTAATAATTAGATTAAAAAACCGCAAGATCAACACGTAGGGAAGAGTCATGGTTTTATTTTTCAATCAAAAGTCGTTTTTTTGGCCGGTGAATGTGTTCATTTCTTTGAGCTTCGATGAGTTTGAGTATTTAACTTTCGGTGCAACATTCCGTAGCAGTAATAGTTAACGGGATTTCTACTGCTATTCTTTTTTCCCTTTTGGCATTAGGTTCTGCCGGACCTCAAGGCCCTCAGGGATCAATGGGGGCCAGGGGTGAGATGGGAAGCCCGGGGGACCAAGGGGCACCCGGAGCAGCTGGACCTCCCGGCCCACCGGGTCCTCCTGGAATCCCAGCAACATCTGCTTCAGCTTCAGGAGCACCCGCTGGTGCACCAGGCCCGGCAGGTAAGAGCCTTCGACTTACGTTTCACTGATGGCAAGGTGAGATCAGATCTCTCTACAGACGTGGTGGTGTGTTTCCTTGCTGCGTTTTCTGATAAACGATGCACGATTTACCTCAATATTGTCATCTCTTTTAAAGGGGGCAAGCGATTGCGATAAAATTCTCTCCTTTTGGTATACACCCAGTAGAACTTTAAATCAGTTAAGATGGCTCTGGATGTCAACTGTTTAGCTAGCAGGCCCTCGACCAGAAACCTGTTTACATCTTGTCCGAACTCTCGTTATGAGATTTCACAGGGCCTCAAGGTCTGCAGGGAACTGTGGGAGAGATGGGAGCCATGGAAAGTCCAGATGACCCGGAAGCAGCCGGAGCGGTAGGACCTCTGGGTCTGCTGGGAGCCCCTAGCTGGTGCCATGAACTGCAGCCTGAAATTAGACCGTCATTGGAAATTACTAGGAGATCATGAATCAGACCCTAAAAAATATTTCATTCATTTACCACAGGTTTGGAAGGACCTTCAGGTCCGCAAGGCCCTATGGGAGCTCTGGGAGCCATGGGAAAACAGGGTGACCCAGGAGCAGCCGGGTCAGCAGGGGCCCCTGGCCCGCCGGGACCCCCGGGACCTCCTGCAGCTCAACCTGCTGCATATGCAGCCCCCGCTGGTGCACCAGGCCCGACAGGTAAGGTCCATGACGCTGAAACTAAAAAAAAGAAATAAAACAAAACAAAACAAAAATAGCTTAATATATGTTCAGTGTAGAGAATAAATGTGATACCGAGCAAATGCATTGTGTCTATAATACAGGCAACAGATTGCAAGGAATCGTTGATGTACTTGTAAAATTTCGATATAATTTTATATCATCTTCAGACTGAGGTGACATACAGGTAGCAGAAATTTAAATATTGCAAAATGGTATATTAGCATTACACGTGAAAATACAAAACAAAGACGAGACTATCAAGAGAATGGATGTTCAGTGTGCATAACTACGAACATGCATCCTTGTCTTCCAAGAGCAAAAGTTGTAATGACAACAGTCATGTTAGTTAGTGACGACTGAGTTGCGCTGTAGTTGTATTCACTGAAGTCTGCCATATTGATGGAACAAAATATATCCATATCAGAAAATGAAGAGCTTATATCTTTGGTACCAGATTAAAGGTAACTTATGGTCAGACTCTTCTTTTGCCTGTTAAATGCCAGACATTCGACTGCTATTGAAAATTAGTAAGAGGTCATAAATCACCTTGCATACGGCGGCTGCTGTCGAGACACGGAGCTGTTCTTTTGAAGCGAAACGATACTTGACGTTTTTATAGAAGATGACTAAAAAATAAGGACAATGCTTAAGTTGCTTTGGCCTTTTTTAATACTTAATTCGAAAATTCGGCGTTGAATTTGACGAGGAACAAGATATTTTGTTCAAAGTAACACAATTATCATGCTACCTGGCGACACTCGACGAGCGACGAACGAGTTGCTGGACGTTGGCGACCCAGTTTTCCCGCCAAAAGCTAGGAGACGCAAACCGTTTCAAATTTTTCACTTTTTTCAACCTGATTTGGCTTATGGCATTATAAATCACTTTTCGTAAATATTCAACGCAGTCTCCAGTGAGGAAAGTTGCCCGACTTCAATTTCTTCCCTCCTGGGACAGGACAGTAACTTTTAACTTTTAATTTATGACATTTTACTTTTTGAGTTATTTATTTTTAAACTACTAGTATAGTATTTACTGTTTTAGAAGTATAACAATTAAAGATAAAAGATTAAAGATTAAAGTTTTAGCTGCCTGTTGATCCCTGATTGGTCAATAAAAATTTAAGGCGCGCCAGACGTATACAAGGCAGAAACTGAAACATATTTTACTCCATTGCGAAAGGTTTGGCAGGACCTTCAGGTCCGCAAGGTTCTATGGGAGCTATGGGAGCCATGGGAAAACAGGGCGACCCAGGAGCAGCCGGCCCAGCAGGGGCCCCGGGCCCGCCGGGACCCCCGGGACCTCCAGCACCTCAACCCGTAACACATGCAGCCCCGGCCGGTGTACCAGGACAAACAGGTAACCTACCGCTACAATAAAAAACTTTTCTTATGTTCAGTGTGCATATATACATACAAACATCTATCCCAGTCTTTACAAGACCACTAAAAAAGTACAAAGATTTACAACACACGTGCAGAGCAATTATTCTGCATAGTACACCGTTTGTTTGGTGACGTTCTTATAGCGGTGGTCGTAGTGGTTTTCTTAAGCTGCTTATTGTAATGCTATTTTGCTACTCTTCAAGGGAACAAAAATCCTCTCTTATTAATTTGTATTTTCTTAATAAAAGACAAAGGCTGGTGACAATGTTTTGCCGGGAAACCTCGTAACCTGCGCGGGTCAGACTCTCCTTTTGTCTGAGTCACAGCCTAATTACATAATAAAAATGTCTGAAATTAGACCGTTATTAAAAATTTTATATTTCATTCGATCGCGACAGGTTTGGTGGGACCGTCAGGTCCGCAAGGCCCTATGGGAGCTATGGGAGCCATGGGAAAACAGGGTGACCCAGGAGCAGCCGGGCTAGCAGGGACCCCGGGCCCACCGGGACCCCCGGGACCTCCAGCTGCTCAACCCGCAGCATATGCAGCCCCCGCTGGTGCTCGAGGCCAAACAGGTAAGATGTCGCTACAGTAAAAAAAGACAAATGTTACCCTTTGCATGTTGAGCATGTTTTTATCTGTTTATGTATCCCTGTCTGCCAAGAGCAACAATTATGACAACAGTCATGCTCGTGACGATTGGGTTGTGCTGTTGTTTTATGTGCTGAATTCGGTCATATTAAATCGCGACAAAGTATACTCATGTGAGCAATTAAAAGGAAATGAAATTCTTTAGAGTTTAAGCTGCCTCTTGTAGTCTAGAGAGGGAGCCCCTTTCGCCTGTTGTCACAGCCTGATCACAGATTTATCCCTGAAAATCGACCTCTATTGGAAATTAGTAGAATTCTACTAGTATGCCAATGCAAGTGCTGTAATCTGATTGGCTGAGCCATTGCACATTATCAGCCATTAGTGTGCAGTGGCTTGGTGTGGTCAACAAACTTTCAACGTTTTCTCGTTTATCCGAAGTTTTGAAAGAACACTTAAAAACAAATGAAAAATTAGATTCCCGAGAAGACTAAAAGAGGGACATTCACGGTTTCTTGAATTAAAAAACTCGAGTTTTTCGAAAGAAACTGAAAGGGCGCACTCACACAACTGGAAATAAATCCTCCAAATCTAATACTAAGACCAGAAATAATTGGAATGGTTATTTGAAGCAAATTTCAATCAGAATTGTACTAAAACAATTAGATTATTCGCTCTCGATTTCTTTGTGGCGATAGTAGATTCAGAATAAACTATCCCCTCGTAGAAATCTCGAGCTCATAATCTACTTGTTAATTAGCAAGGGATCGTGAATCAGAAACGAAAACATATTTTACTCGATTACGACAGGTTTGGAGGGACCTAAAGGCCCGCAAGGCCCTATGGGAGCTATGGGAGCTATGGGAAAACAGGGCGACCCCGGAGCAGCCGGGCCAGCAGGGGCCCCGGGCCCGCCGGGACCTCCGGGACCTCCTGCAGCTCCACCCGCAACATATGCAGTCCCCGCTGGTGCGCCAGGCCCGACAGGTAAAATCCATGTCGTTTCAATTAAAAACAAATACGACTTTAATATAATAAATTCATATGTTCAGTAATTAAACCTAAAAACATGCATGCCCCTACTATTCCAAGGGCAAACATTGTGGCAACAATCACGTTTATGACATTTTAGTTGCACTGTGTGTAGTTTACAGTCAAACCAAGTGAAGCGTATCCCTCAAGATTACATTAATAAATTGATTATTTGAATATTGAACCCGCTAATCGTTTCAAGAATGCAATAATGAATTGATTATTTGAATATTAAACTCGCTAGTCATTTCAAAACTCATTATTAAATTGACTTTTTTTAAACAGTAAATCCATTAGCCGTATTCTTGGAACGACTAGTGGGTTCAGTTTTCCAATAAGCAATTCATTATTACATTCTTGAAACGATTAGCGGGTTCAATATTCAAATAATCAATTCATTAATGTAATCTTGAGGGGTAGGCTTCACTTGGTTTGACTGTAAATACTGAAGTCGGTCATATGAGCCAAATCGGAGTTTCAAGAATCAGTGCAGGGCGCCTCTAGTGTATTCCCTTCTTTTGTTTTCTTTTTTTTTTTAATAACAAAAGAATTAAGAAAATAAATTAAGGATAAAAACGCACACATAATGCATTTATTATTGATGAAATCAATTTTTACCCAAATTCAAATTCATTGTCACCTAATCAAAGAAGAAAAAAAGGTATTTTCTATGGTTTGATATCAAATTCAAGAAGTCCCTGCCACCAGTGAAGTTTGGTACCATGAAAACACCGCAAAATCCTCATTTAGTAGTTTCCCCATCCTAATTGGCAGAAACCTTAAAATCGGTATTTCACGATGTCATGATCTCCGATGTGAAGGTAATTTAAGATTCGACCTCACCTCTCTCCGTGTTATATCTCTTAAAAATCCTCACATCTGTATATGTTTTAGGCCTAGAAGGTCCAAAGGGGCCACAAGGATCTGTGGGAGCTATGGGAGCAATGGGAGATCCCGGTGACCCCGGAGCAGCTGGGCCTCCAGGTCCTCCGGGTCCACCTGGTCCCCCGGGAATACGGGCAACGAGACCACCACCTGTGGGGCCTCCAGCAGGCAGTCCAGGTAGCCCGGGACCAGCTGGTAAGTTGAGATTTAGTAACTTGTACGAAAGATCATGCACGTAGTGATCTAGTCGGGAGTTTAAAAGAAAAAAATATTGCTTACGCCTGTTTTCCGACCTTGTTAGAGGACTTATTTAGCTGGTATCTATTGCAGGTTTAAAACCTTGTTAGCTGACATCTGTAACATCGCTGCTCAGTATAACAGCGGAGGGATATAACTGACCAATAATTGTTGACAAACTTTACACCAGAGCTACAGCCAACACCATCAAGGCTTACCTGATCAATCAGTCTCAACAGACCAGACTTGTAACACTATGGACTGACAACACTTTTCACTCGACTCAGAATATGACTTCCGCTGATGATGATGTTGAAACCATTCAGTCACCAACAACAGTTCTTTTCATAACAACAATTATCTAGACGATAACACTAGATGAAGCACTGGTATTCCTGGGTTTAAAACGTTTACAATCTCTGGACCCCTAGCCTGGCCAAACAAACTCCCCAGTAGACGCAGGCTGAAAACTTGAAACTCCCCTTGGCCAGGCCTTGCGTGCACTTGCGTTGACTTGCGTTCACTTCTGTCAAGATCAAATTTGCACGCAAGTCGACGCAAGCTCTCCATTGTTTGGCCACGCAACCCAACTCAATGCAAGTTGAGTAACGTCCATCGTTGTTATAGTAAGCCATTAGCCAATCAAATACAGGCTATTGGCCGCGCGGGACTAAGCCCGCAACCTTGAAATGAGTTTATTTGCGACCTGCGTGTACTTGAGAGGAAACTTGCGAGTCCGTTTAGCCACTCAATGCAAGTCTTTACGCAAGTTAAACTTGCTCTATGTGACTACTTGCGCGTCCATTTAGCCAGGGCTTAACATCTGTTTCTGCGGCATGCAGCGGGGACAAACAAGCTTTTTGTAATCTGCTACTAAAATATAAATTAGGGGTACAGCCTTGATTAAAATTACTTAAAGGTATCCAACAGTTGTTTAATTGTCATCGTATCTATTGAAACCTTGAAGCCGCTGTTTTGCAGTCAACAAAAATACTTGTAATTATTTCTTTTCTTCAGGTCTTCAAGGAGAACAAGGCGCACAGGGAGCGATGGGAGTCATGGGAAAGCCCGGCGATGCAGGACCTGCCGGACCGGCCGGACCAGCCGGACCACCGGGGCCACCGGGACCCCCTGGAATACCGGCTGCGAGACCTCCCCTTCCTTTCACGTGTCCAGCCATTTGCGATAAGCTATGTGTTGGAATTTGTCCTACACAGAATTGTTGCAAAAAGTCACAAATCCCAACCAAACAAAAAATCGTGCCGATAAAAGTTGCTCAAAAGCCAGTCATGCCGCCAGTACAAGGACAAGCACAGGCGAAGACAACTTTACAAGGGGGTCACAAAAAGGAACGAAAATTACAAGTAAATGCTCAGAAACATGCCCAAGCTCCAGTTAAAGAAATTCCTTCGCTTAACAGTCATAAAGTCAAAAGAAGCAAAATAAGACACAGGAAATATCACAGTTGGCTACAGTAATTCAATGTCCACTTTGTAGTTATACAGAAATATTATATAGAAAGCATCAATAATGAAAGGAATAAAACTATCTTTATTAACGAAGGAACGAGAATCATCATCTTTTGTTTCATCAAATCTAACCTAAGAATGTTACCGTGTGAAACATTTTTTTTACACGTGAAACAGAGCAGTTTTGCCTCGACGAGATTTTCAAATCACTCACAAAATTAATAATATTCTCCAACCCTTGCGCAGGGTTGTAATTCAGCGCTGAATCCCTACAAGTTTTTTAAACTTAAACCGTCAGGATACAGCACTTACGGAACTTAGCAAATCCTTAGCAGATCGTAGGTAATTTAATACGGAAGTAAACTTCTGGCTGGAAGTGGAATTCTCCCTTCGCACCAAGCCATTTGCGGAAGCTATGTTATAGGACTGTTTAAGGGCGGTTCCTTCGGGATGATCTGGATCAGCAACAATGATCCCAGATCACTGGGATTATGGTACATCAAAGGAGCCGATGAATCCGTAACCAGTGAAGATTCATGGGCTCTTTTGATACACAATAAACGGAATGATCTTGGATCACTCATCCTGATTCGGATCATTCCAAAGAAACGCAGCCTTCAGCTTGGTTTTCAATAGCGACGCAAGCACAAGCGCAAGCACAAGCGCAAGCACAAGCGCAAGCACAAGCGCAAGCACAAGCGCAAGCACAAGCGCAAGCACAAGCGCAAGCACAAGCGCAAGCACAAGCGCAAGCACAAGCGCAAACACAATATAATTCTTATTTCACCGTGAAAACAGCCTTGACGCAGGCATAAGCACAAGCGCATGCACAAGCACAAGCACAAGGATGAAAATTTTTCCTTTTTTTGTTCTTGCGCTTATGTTTGCGTTTGCGCTGCAACAAGTGAAAACGAAATACCGCTCGGGTATACCACAAGCACGATGATATTTACCACACGTGGTTATGTTTGGCCAATATATAAAAACGCTGGATCCAGATTACCTCGCGCCTAAACTGGCGGAAGGTTCGGATGATTTTGCTTGTGCTTGTGTTTGCGTCGAATTTCGTTTCCACCTGGGTCATCCCTATTGCTTGCGTTTTTGTTTGGGCTTGTGCTTACGTTTGTGCTTGCACTTGTGCTTGCGCTTGCGCTTGTGTTTGCGCTTGTGTTTGCGTCTAGTGAAAACCAGGCTTTAGTGAAAAGTAGACTAACGAATAACGGGTGAAAACCAGCTTTAAAAGAAGTGAAAATCCAAAGATCAAAAATTTAGCCAATCAAATCATGCTTCTTCATAGACACTTTAACCTCGTGCCAAGGCCCCGACAGATAAGAGGAACAGCTAAGATGTTGCACTTGGAATAAGAATGGATTGGTGGCTTAATGGCACATTTTCGTACTCTCGGTAATGCACTGGAACTAGCTTGCAAGTGAGGCTAATGCGGGGAATCTTTTCGAATGTAAATGACAATTAATCTCTTTTTAATGATATTCCCTCGCGTGAGCCTCCATTTCATGCTAGTATCAATCTAATACCGAAGATGGCCAATTATAGGGAGTTTTCATTTAAGTGGCCAGTAGCCACGCAATTTTTTGGAACAAAAGAAAGTTTTTATACTAGAAAAGTATTCAAATCCCACAGGATTGGTTTGGAACGCCAACATGACCGTCGTTTCATTGTTTTGGGATACCAACATGGCTGCCGTGACCTCATGTTAATACTCTCTATAGAGCTCGGCCAATGGCGTTTCAGCATTTTCACACAACATATTACAACATTCTTACTACGCGCAATATGTTCCACACGTTGGGTCACCCAGTTATATGGTCTTACAAGATGGTTGGCCAAACGTGTGCAAATGTTGCGTCAGTTTGGCCCTCGCTCCTTGTTCCCTGTTTCCTTTTTCGTTCGGGTGGGCGTGCGCAGAACAGGTTTTTATAAATATATTACAATATTTAGAAAAGAAGCCACTTTAGCCTTGGCTGGTTTTCATGCGGGTCCTCTGTCCTGGTCGAATTGGAATTTAAAGTGTTGGTTTTTGTGGAGGAACGAAAGCCGGAGAACCTGGAGAAAAACCCTCGGAGCAAGGACAGAACCAACAAGCTCAACCCACATATGGCACCAGGCAGGAATCGAACGCAGGCCACATTGGTGGGAGGCGAGCGCTCTCACCACTGTGCCATCCCTGCTCCACATGGTATGATATGATTTGATATCATATTGTGTTTAAAAAATAGAAAACGTGTACCGTGTTTCTGTCCAGTCATAGAAACACGAGTGGAAGTTTGGGAGAACGAGAAATGCTGTGGGAACACGAGCCGCAGGCGGTGTGTCTTTTTCGAGTTTCCCCAAACTTTCACGAGTGTTGCTATAACCCGAGAGAAACGCGGAGAACACGTTTTTTATTTCGTTTAAAAAACACCGCGACGAAAAAACAGAGAAACAACTTGTTAACTTTGATCATCAAAATGTAAATTCTCTTCGCTCGCGCCATCATTACGTCAACAGCTTGTGCTAGTTTTGTGTTTCTGTCGAGTTTTAGTATAAATCTACTAGCGTTCTATCACGAATGCCGTTCTCTGATTGGCTACGCTACTCACGATCTATTCTGTGATAGATAGCGAGTAGCGTAGCAGTGTGCCCTTGTTAACAAAATAACGGCCGCTTCTTGGCGTTTTCGAAGTGTCTGTGAAGAGGAATTAGACAAAGTTTTGAACGAGTAGTAGATTTATACCAAAACAATTAGATTATTCGCTCTCGATTTCTATGCGTGATAGAAATCTCGAGCTCATAATATAATTGTTTAATAGAAACACGATCTTTAACCAATCAGCGCCGGAGCGTATTTTCTTAGGGCTATATTCTAAGATGTAATATGATATGATGTGTTATGATATTAATAACAACCACACAAGAGAAGTGAATCTTTAGTATTTTAATGTCCTACAAATCTACCTATTTATAACACAACCAAGACAGTGAAAAGAGCCAAAAACAAAAATCAGCCAATCACAACGCCCTATTAGCTTTTATTGCTTGTCTCGTATTTTCAAAGCTTTGGACCGGATTACGTTTGTACAACCATTAAAAATCATAAAGAAGTGTAACAAGACTGTTATAAAAGTTTACACGGGAACTTGCTGGGAAAATATTGGTCTTGTCTTTTCTATGATCATCTCGTTCTGATCAATCCATTCCGTATCAAGACTTGAAAAGACCGATCTTCTCCCAGTACGGTCCGCCCGCTTGTTTGATAACAATCAATAATTTGAAGACAAGATTGATCATCGCAGTTATGTACACAACTTAGGCAGCTGTGAAATTAATTAAAACCACTTTAACCTGTGTACATAACCGAGATGATCACTCACGTCTTCTCCGCAGTTCAAATATATGCTCTTTCATATATGTACTTGCAATCAATAATTTGTTACCTCTGTAGCACTTATAAGGTAAAAAAACATTTACCTCGAGAACTCACAGTATACTTTGACAGCATGGAGTCCCGGTGTCCTCTGACTGTTAAAATTTTCTTCTTTCTTTTTCTCTATAATAGTATTCGAGTCTATTATCTTCTTTTACAGTACAGTACTCTTTGATTTCGTCTGCTAACTTGCTCGTTTATTTTGTCGTATTCAGATGTATTCTTCATAGAGTCACTGCTTTCTTAAATTCATAATAATGTCTAGCACATTTCCCTCATATCCGTATACCGTGTTTGTAAGTAATTCTTTCATTATGTCAATTTTACACGTCTTCATGGTAAGCATGTTATTTTTTTGAGTATTCAATGTTTCTATTTCATTCTGCGTAAAGCCTGTCTCGATGAGAGTTGTATTTTTTATTTAAATCACCCTACACCAGTCTGTTTTATTTTTATTTTAATGCATGCCTTTTAGGTATTTTTTCTTTTACGATAATCATTTTCACTTTATGTATCATATTTTTTTACATCATTTATTAAGAGACTTTTTTGTTATTTTACATTACACTCTTTAGATTGTTATGTTGGGTTCATCATTCAAGTCTCCAAAAGTCTCAATAAATCTGATATTTTATCTATTACATTGTTTTCATGAAGACTTTATTTCGTTTAGTAACATATCTTCGCAAGATTACCACCACCCACCAAACAACACCAACAACAGCACCATCACCACCCACCACCACTAGCAGTACCTCCATTACCACGTACCCACCACTGCCATCATCACAACCACCACAGCCACCCACTAACACCACGACCACCGCCCACCTGTCACCCACCACCTCACAAATCACCACAACCGTCCACCACCACCACCACCACCACCACC